AGCAGAGGACTGGAGTTTGACACCCATTGTGAATGACAACCTGTGAATGGCTATTTAAGTATCTAAACATTCTAACGGACAATGTATTTATCTATTTTCAAGTCATTAGTGTCAGAGACTAATGGGGTTCGGTTACGGTTCGGACTTTTTACTTCCGAAGCCTGACGGAGCTCAACAAGCCTCATAGCTTGACAGTAGCGCAGCTCTGGTGTCAGAGATCTGGTTCAGCTGTTCAGGTTCAAAGTTGCTGCTTTTAGAAAAATATGACCGTGTTGCTTAATGTCTCCGTGTTATTTCATTTTATTACCTTTGCATGTTTCTTGTGAAGAGCTCAGATAGGACGGTGTTTACAGCAGTATGTACAGGCGGATAAACTCTTTCAGGCTGACTACAGAAGCGATTCCTTGGAAATAACTCAGGGAGGCTCCTTTATTTACCATCCGTATCCCCGGTAGTTTTAGGCTGATCCGGAGTGAAGTGAAGGCTGCAAACTTTGTGTTGTGCAGCGTTAGCTTTAACTGGTAGCGACAGATATTTACAAGCCATCTTCTTAATTCAGGATCGCTTGGAAATTAAAGAAAACTTAAAAGCCCATTATATTAGGAAGACAACAATGTTCATAGTATTGCTTTTTTGCATCTGAAATACGACTTGGTCTTTTCTACCAGTCATGGCCACTCAAAGCAGAAACAAGTGAGCCGCATTAGCTCCTGGAGATGTGACGTCAACGCCGTAGGTGCAAAGAGCCCATTGCTATAAACAATCGTTAAATGTCTAAAAAAGGAATTAAATTGGTTACTTGTGTCTTTTAATGCATTTCCATTTATTGCATAAAAAGCTTAAGTGGTTAAATAAATAAAAAAATTACCAGTTTATTTATCTTATTTATTTTTATCAGAGTAATCGATTAATCGTTACAGAGAGCCCTGTGTTCAGCTAGAGTCCAGCTCCAGTTTGCTTTGCGTCTCGGGGTAAATGTCCAAGGTTTACATGTGAGGTTTCATTCTACAAAGCTGTGGTTGTAAAATGTCGTTCGACGCCGTGGTTAAACTCTGTTTTCCCTCTAAACGCTGCGTGTTGCTTCTCTCCACTGTTTTCCTGGCTTTCTCGTGTCAGCTGGCTCTCTGCCGCGGCGGCACAACGGCGCATCGAGCCTCATTTGTTTAGCCGTTGTTTAGATACCAACTCCGAGTCCTTATTTGGGCGTTTGGCTCGTAGTATGCAAAACGGCGCATAAACATGTCAGATTATGACCTTCTAGGAACATTAAAAAGGCCTCACTGAGACGTTGGCTGCCGTTTAAACTGTAACGTTGGCTCGGTGTGGCCACTGAGCTCTCGCCTTGATGTTGTTGCTTTAGGCTGTGAGCTGCTACGATGGCCTCATCCTGAAAGCAGAGGGCAAGGTGGACCCTGACGTCTTCTGCCAGCTCGGCCACTTCAACCTCCTGCTGGAGGAATATTCAAAAGGTAACAATCGTTTATTATACTGTATCTATATAACTTGATGAACTGAATTGAATCTTGAGCTTTTCATATTGTTCCAAAATGACTCCCTCATGTTGTTTTCCGTTGTCTCATCCTTCACTCAGCATTATCTGCATACCAGAGGTACTTCAGTTTACAGTCGGACTACTGGAAGGTGAGTCTGATGCACGTTTTTCAGATCGCAGCTTATCAAATGGAGAACAAACTGTGACACAAACTCTTTTGCATAATTAATCCGAGAGGGAAAGAAAAGAGAAGTTTGGTTTTGATTTAACTTCAGACAGTGGAATAAAAGTTGAATCTCTTTTATTCTGTAAGTTTCTGGTTTCAACTGTAAATAATTAGCTGTTGCAGGTGAAGATGTTTAAACCTCTAAAAGAACCCAGTTTTTTGGGCCGTTCTGTCACAGCCAGGATTTTGTAATGATACTCTGACTCCCTGCTAGCATGACATCCAGATGTTCAGCCCCATTTTGTCTAGGTCTGCCTTAATAAGCAATAAATCAGTTAATCACAAGATCAGTTAAAAGGAGCTCAATAATTTCCATTTGCATGATTTATATTTTCTATTTTTTCTCTTTTTCTACAAAAAACTGAATGACAAAAATTTTCAGTGTAGTGTTTTTGCCTCAACTAGAACTTGTTTTGATGGCCAGTTTGTTTAAATAGACCTCATAATTCATTTTGTTTGTTGTTTCTGTTGTTTGTTTATTTTGGATACTTAAAATGTCTTTAAAAAAATCAAAAGATTTATTTTAAAAAGTTCAATATAATTTAAAGTTTATTGATCTTTTAGAATGCCGTCTTGCATTACCATTATGTTACTTGAAAATGGTCTCAAAACAACATTATCATTCATCGCAATAATTTTGCGATGAATGATAATGAATGAATGAATAACAGCATTCCTTGTAGCAAAGGCTCCATCTGCAGCTTAAACAACAACTTTTTCACAGAATTCAAATGAGGTGAAGTTAAAACCTGAAACTTGAGTTCTGGCTAAAGGATATGTACTAATTTTTATTTTTTAGCTAGCCATCCATCCATCTTGTTATCTACCTCTTTATCTACCTAGCTATTTATCTACCTCCATCTATCTGTCCAACTCTTTACCCCCCATCTCTGTCTATCTTGTTACATACGTAGCAATCTAGCTATGTATCTGTCTAATCAAATTGGGTTCTTTTGTATGGTTTAGTTTATTTACTGCTCTGTGCTCTTTTAGAAAATAGCCTTTTTTGAGTCAATTGAGGACTATTCGATTCTTAAATTAGTTGACGGTATTTCACTCAATTAATCTGATTAACCGTTTCAGTCCTCATATATTTGTTTTCCTCTTTAAAGCCAAGCAAACTCTGCTTAAATTTAGAAAACCTAAAATTGAAATTTTCTGCCAGTGTTATGTCAGAGCTGGTGTTTGTGTATTGATGTAGCCAAAGACGGTGTGGCAGCCTTTATTTCTTGGGAAAAACGGACTGAAAAGAATCTTTAGCAGACTCTCAAAAGTGGAGAAAAAGTCTTCCAGAGGGATGAAGCACACTATAAACTTGACAAAAAAGTCAACGAGGTCCCAAGGAAAAAAAAAAACAAAACATGTTGGCTCAGGAAAAAAACTATCAAGAATCAAATATGAAGCCCACAAGACCCCTTTCCAGAGCTACAAAGCTGAGGTTTCATTCACTGGTGCAGAAATGGGGCTGATTTAATGCGCATGTGGATATGCTGCTTGTTTTTCAGATTTGGGTTTACAGCTTGGAGAGATGGCATTTAAAATGCTTAAATTCTAGCTTTAGGTTCTGGCCAGGATCTGTGCTGTAATCATTGTAATGTGTTGATCTAAATCAAGGCTGATGTACTTTCTTTTCCTTTTTTTGTTTCCCTAGAATGCTGCCTTTTTATATGGCCTTGGAATGGTTTACTTCCATTACAACGCATTTCAGTGGTAAGTGTTTTGTTTTTCTCCTAAATAATTTCCTTAGTCTAACATGGATTAGTTAATTCATGGATTGATGTCAGCGCAAAAGCATTTTTAAGGGCACGAGTCCTGGATGCTGGATGTACTTCTGATGCTTGGAGCCACAGCTAGCAGGCTATCCAGACAGTGGATACAACCATTTTCCTACTACTTCAGGGCTTTTTAGTTGTGTTTTCTTTTCCCATCTTCAAACTGGAAAATCAGACTTCTGTTTCATAAAAATGGGGGGAAAACAGAAACATTCTTGGCCTCAGGGACGACGTTTAATTCTGACAAAGACATCACGCTATATGCTGATGATATTTTGATGATCCCAGAAGTTCTCTGGAGAATAGGATATTTACTAGGTGAAATGGTATAAAAGTGTTTATTGGTGGTCCCATAGGCTTTCAACACGATTTAGTTGTTAGAATAAATGTGCGCTTATTGACTTGTTTCTGTCCCTGCATTCAGTCAGAAGGTCATTTAGTTACTGTGGAAGATATTTATTATTTAGAAAAACGACATTACGTTCTAGTTGACAGCAAATGTTACATTTCATAGCATAACGGTGGTAGCTGAGTCATGATTGAATTATTTCATCATGTGTTCATTTGTTAAATTATGGTAGTTAAACTGTGAACTAGCTGGGATAAGAGCTGGGTTAGCGGTGCTAACCCTAAAGCACAAATTATAGACTAAAATATAAAATGTAAAATATCGGTAGTTTAACTAAAGGTTCATCAAACCAAACCAATAAGGTTCACAGCAATGAAAAAAACACTGGTGGCGAAGAAAATCAAGCTAATTTTGTGTTTTGCTAACTTTGAAAACATTTAGTTGACTTGGCTTCCTCTTGATAGTTTGTTCCAGATAAATTCTGAAGTGTTAATGCACTTGGATATTATGTATAACGCATGTCATCAACACATGGTGGATAATCAAGATGGTTAAATTTAGCCTTTTAGCATTAGCTTCCTCTGAATACCATGTTGGTGTAGTGCCTTGGCAGTAGATGAACAAATGTCTGACTCGTGCTTTAGGGTTAGACCCGCTAACTTTTTAGTTAGCACTGCTAACCCAGCTGTTATCTGCTGGGATATTTCTCTACTATTAACCCTAAATTATTTGCAGTTTTTTCTTTTGTAGAGCATACCTAAAATATTTGAAGGAAAATCCGTCTTAAGAAGCTGAAATATCAAGGTGTAATGCAACCGGACATGCTATCGGCTGGCATTTACAAACCAGCCAATCCAGAATCTCCATTTACTTTTCTTGCCACTGATTGACTGAACCCCCAGGAGAGGAAATGAGGAAGTAGCATGTTTATGAACATCTGGTCCCTGAGCCAGTAACACTCCTAGGTTTCTGTTCGTAACCTGCAATTAATCCATAACTGGAAAAGGGAGGCGTTCTGTAATAACCAAATACATTTCGTAGTTTTTCACTCTTTAGTTTTCTGACTGTTATCTTAAGAGCAGCTAATAGTCCGTTTCCCTGGACTCAGTGGTTATTATTTATATTAGCCATAGAGGCGACATCCCGGAGTTCGAGTGAGAGAGTCAATGTTGGTGTTTTGCTAGCATGCTAAACAGAGACCGTGTGGGATACTATGGGTTTTATTTTGAAAGAAACTAGAGGTAATGGGCTAGAGTTGTTTGTGGTAACTTATTCACAGATTGGGAAATGCTTCTGTATCTCCACTGAAGTTTGAAAAAGGTTGGAAAGCAACTTTTATGCCATTGATGCGACACATGCGTCATAATTTTGCACTAGAAAAACCAGGAAGTGGTAAATCTAGACGTAAAAAATGGCTGAAAATTATGATTAGGAACTTAAGAACAAAGTCTCAGTGACATTGCAATCCCACCAGTCTGACTACACATCCAAACAGACTTCTCTGCACAATTTACAGTCAGTGCTCCACAAAACAGCGTTGACTGTTTTAGTTGTGCTCTCTTTTTCTTGGCTTCCGTCGTCTTATGATCCTGTCAGCTCCCATTGCTGAAAAACTTTAAAATCCATCCATTCGCAGCTCCAGATGATGCGCTGCTGTGTGACGTCCAAGTTCTTTGTTTCGCTTTTGGGGTAGTAAGCCATCGACACAGACGTCTCACTCCAGTCGGGTTTAATTAGCGGTATGAACAACTACACACAAAAAAGGTTCCAGCAAAAAATATTGGAATTGGCCGTCAAGACCTGCTGCGTGAACGTAGCCTCCGACGGCAATTCTGAAGAAAAATGCAGCACTCCTGGTACACATCCCTGATGACACCCAAGTGACTGCAGGTAGTCACCTGTATCCTTGGCCACAGAAGTAGCAATAGCTTTTTTTTTTTTTAGTATTTTTGACTTTATAAAACATCTGTGAATAAAAAGAAGCCCCGATTGACTCCATTCTAACATGCCCACTGTGAACTGGAGACTGAACAGAAGCATCACTCTGCCAGGGCTGGGGGAGGGGAGGGCTGTCATTAGGTTGGGTCCAGGGGACAGACTACGTCATGGAGACCAAGGCTGAAGGAATGCTGAGCTGTCAGGTGGGGGGTATTGCTTCATTGGGGTGTTAGTGTGTTGGGTGGCTTGAATGTTTTAAAAAGCTTAAGTGGAGGTTTAATTTTAACCAGCTAGCATCTGTGAGTCAAATGGGGGAGTTAGCTTTATGTTTAGTTTAAAAGTAGCTTTTAGCTGCTGATTAGGCTTTACAGTAAAAAATGGAGTGTGTTCATTGTTTTACTGGAGCTGTCATGTTGCTGTGTGGTACAGTCTATCCTGCTGAGGAGCTTCACTGGATGCAGCCTGGGAGGGAAAGAGGGAGAGGGCAAACGGTGAGTGGAGGGAGGGAGGGAGTAGATAAACTGAGAGGGGGAGGTGCTGGGGGCACTGAGTTCAGTGTGTGTGTGTGTGTGTGTGTGTGTGTGTGTGTGTGTGTGTGGCATGTTCAGTAGAGACCACAGTGCTTTTTCATACAGGAAAAAGGGCTGCACGCTGACATGCTTTTGCTATTGTTGCTATAGTTACACAGCAAGTGGGTTCAGTTGTAAACGGCTCGTTGCCGCAGGTAGGATTGCTTCTGTTTTATCAAAAGGGCTGGATTCATGTTGGCGAACATGATCACATTATTTCATTTCACTAGATTGTGCCCAAGGAAAATCTTGAGGGTTTCTCTGTTAAATGATCCTGGTTTTGGTACCAAAACTTAATGCTGCTTTTGAAAATACCAAGGGTATTCTGCATCATATTGATGCTATGAGCCAAAACAGTTAGCTGTTGCTGTTTGCTGTAAAGCACTCTGCTGATATTCAGAGAGCCCCCTCCTGAATCTTCCAGTAAGCGAATGCTCTTAAACTGAGAATCCACATCTCTGAGGTTCATGCTGGAACATATTGTCCATTCAGGGAGGATGCATTACTGAGCTCAGTGCTACTCTGCATTATATTTCATCTTCTCTCTGAACTGAGCCATTCGTGTAAAGCATTCAAGCGAGATAGCAAACTGACCGTTTCCAATATTGGTATTAAGATGACCCAAAAAAATACTATCTTTAGTTCTTTACACATCTCTAAGACATTAGGGCAATTTGTCTCCCAAAAAATGTTCTTGGTGTCAGAAATTCAACTACCTTGTGTATAAAACACTAAGCTCATTGACTCCTAAATAAACATGTCCTAACTGTATGTTGGAAGACAAGATTGATGGTTGTCTGTACATGGTGTCTGTGCATCCTTATAAAATTGTAGGTACATCTGTTTAAAATCGAAGCCTTAAATTATCTTAAATTCATTGAGAAACAATATGTTGGCATTAAATGTTAATCACAGGTCTTAAATCTTACTATAATGAAAAACTTTGAGTTGCACAGACGTCTTCACTGAATTCTGTGACTCAAGGTGGTGATTACTGGTTACTAGCTGTAAAAAAGTTAGCTAGCTTTTTTACATGTAGCAAGCTGGCTTTGCGTAAAAAATAGCTAGTTTTTTATGTAAAGCTAGCTTGCTTTTTTATGTAAAAAAAAAAAAAAAGAAAGCTAATTTTTCTTCATGAATATTAGCAACTAGTTACCGATGGTCACAACTGCCTTAAGTCATAGAGTTAAGTACAGCTGGTTATACGTAAAATGGCTTTCTATAGCGTTTTATGTAAAGTTAGCTATATGTAAGCTAACTTGCATATTACAAGATATATGTAGTTATAAAAACTAGCTATAGGCAATTCTGTGACTCGAGGCGGTTAAACCTCATGTTCTGCTCCTGGTGATGATATTTTCTATTTACAGCAGATTGGTGTAGCACAGTCTGCAGGGCAATTAAGGCGTTCCAAGAGGTGCTTTACATCCACCCAACATTTTCCCGAGCGAAAAAAAATTCATGGACCTGAATGAAGTCAATCTTTTTTGTTTAGCACATTTCAGCAACAAGGCAGTTCAAAGTTTTTACATAATTAAAAAAATAATACTAAAAGCACTACAAAAACAAAATAAAGACAAGTAAATATACTTAGACATGGATATGAAGGAGAGGGGTTTTTATTTTGAGAACCACAGTTGTTTCGACGTATGAAACTCTTATTTTGAGGGAGGCGGAGTCATGACAGCTGGACTGATGTAGGGGGAACTGTTGCCATAATCCCCATGTAGACACTTCTCTGTGCTGTGAATTAACATATTAACCTGAAGCAGCTTGTTTGAGCAGTGCTTTTGTTTAAAAATGAAATCCTATAGCAAATACCAACTATTCCTAAAGATTTGATTTAGAAACCATTTGGCTCTAATCATTGAAATGCATCCTAAGCTTCTAATTTTGAGTTTCTCAGCCTTCATGGACATCCAGGAGCCTTTTGGTTATTTGAAATCACTAAATGGATTCCTCAGTTATATGCCCCTATT